TTTTTTTTCTGGAAAATATATCAGAATCTCTAGCTGTCAAAGAATTTAAACAATAATACCTGATCTGGAGGCTAGAGCACAGGGCTTTTGAAAATAAAGATTGTAATCTCCCTACAGTGTATCCAGGGACTGATGGGGTTTAAAGTAACATATCCTGCAGGGTGAGCTAGGTGTAAACTGCCACGGGGACGCTGCTCCAGCCTGGTGTCACTTATTTCCACTGAGCGCTCAGGTAAAATTCCCTTTTCCTCGTGCTTTTTGGTGGCTGCAATGTTTTTATTGTAGAATCAAACAAGACAGCGATCCAAGGCCAATTTACGTTTATTGGGACCTTGTTGGTGGTGACTGAACTTTTTTTGCAGCCTCACGTGGTGGGGTCAGGATACCTCAGCACCAAGTTCTGGTGGGCGAGTATGCATGTCGCAGAAGCTCTTGTTGCAGCATTGGCGGGTCCGGGGCTGGGATTCATTCCAGATAATTTTAGCTATCTAGAAGTTAGGTGTGTTGTCCAAGCTTACTGTTGAGGCTCTTGAGAGAATTTAGGGAGAGAGAGGCAAATCCTCCCCGTTAGATGCCTGTTTTAAAGAGGAGAATCAGCTATAAGGGGAGACCTTTTGCAGGAAGCCAACTGGGTGGTGAGCCCTACCCCAGAGCCAAACTGATCTCTCGTAAGGAAAAAAAAAAAAAAAAAGAGGACCAGGATCCCTAAAAATGAAAATATTTCCAGCAATTGAGGAAGCTTAAGACTCAGATTTTTGAAAAATAGGTGCCTGTGGTTTGGCTTTGTAGCCTGTGCCCTGGCAGCTAGCAAAGCCCAGCCTGATCCCACAGTGAGGAGCAGAGGCAGCATGCTGATCCGCCGTCCCTGAGCTCCTGGCTTCCGACCAGACGTTGGCGTAGGATGATCTCCAGGACTTGAGAACTGTGTCGGGGCGGAGGGGTGGGCTGGGGTATTTACCGGTGGAGGTGTCATGCGGGATGTTTGCCCATCCGCTGCTGCTCAATCCGTGTTTTGGCGCTAGGCGGTGAGGGATTTAAGTGCAGGCATAACCTTTGCAGTCCACAGGAAAGGTGAGTCCCATTTAGTTCTAAATTATGACATTATTTTATTAGATCTTTAAACTTTATTTAAGTTCTTTATTTAAGGAAGGGGGAGGAAGGTATCGTATTTTAATTAGTAGCAGTGTCAAAGGAGACCTAGATTAATTATTTGAAATCACTCCATCCAGATGGTTTTAATTTTCACAGCAGGGAACCGGCATCTTTTTAAGGTGATATTTTTCAAATTAAAATCAGCTTGGATATTACTCATACAGGCTGCAGTGAGAGGGGGTGGGGAGCGCAGGATGGTGTGCCCTGTGGTTGTTAATCCAAGTACATGCTGCCCCAGCGAGCCCCTGCATTACGAAGGTGTGGGTGGCTCACTGGCACACGGGCCTGCCGCTCAAGGCCCTAGCAGAGGCGTACTGCGTTTATGAGCATCAGGTTGGCCAGAGTTATTATCTGATATTCAACATTAATCTTAGCAGTTCTAGTAGCAGCGCCAAAACTTGAATGGACAGGGAACGCCTTGCAGCTTAGACACCGTGTTTCCGGAGCAGAGGTGAGCAGAAATTTGGCAGACGGCATGGAACACGCTTGCTGTGTCCTGTCTGCAAGCTGTCAAGCCAGGCCCTTTGGTGGACCTCGGTCCCTCTGCATCACCGGGTGGATCTGTGGACGACTCCTCGAAGCTCTCGGAGTTGACCGTGGTGCTCGGGCCGGTCTTTGGGATCTTTAGTGCTGGCCCGATGACCTGCACTCGGGCATGGGCTGCTGCAGTTGACCATTAGTCCTCTGGCCTTTGCTCGTGGTGGGGGGACGACTTTTCACAGTCAGTCACTTCCCTAAAGGTATCCATACCTTGGCTGTTCCCTGGTCCGTTTGTGCGGCTGGGAGAGCTCCTCTGAGCAGTCTCCCTGAACTCCTTGAAGCTGTTGGTGTTTACCATTTTGCTCAGCCTCCCCTTGAACACCTCTCTTTGACCCACTGTCATCTCCCCCATCCTGGCTTTGCTCATCTTTATATCCTTACTATGATGCCATATTTCTGGTTCATGGAGTCCTTCCTCGCTTAAGTGCATGGGAGGTCACTGGTTTGATACCTCCTTGGCAGCTGGGGAGAGGTCTGCAGCATGCAGTTATCATCAACGAGCTGGCCTCTATCCCAGAAACCCAAAAACATGGATACGTTTCTGAAAGACTCAGATAACTGCCCGTGTTTATGTATGTTTGTAAGTAATATACTGGTATAATACAGGCATTATCCCATTTGCTGTTAGAAATAAGTTATTCTTTAAATATCCCTTGTGATAAAGGGATAACAGATATATCTAAATAAATGTAAACATCTAGTAACTGAAAAACCCTGAACTTGCATATGTGACAGAGCTGCAAAGGGAAAACTCCATTTAGGGCCTTTGCGAGTTAAAGGTTTGTGATATTTGCACTGCTGCAGAAGCCAAAAGCTGACTTTACAAGTGGGAAAAATATTAATGTGTTTAAATGAAACAAACTCCTATTTCTATCCCCCTGGTAAATCCTTACAGTGAACATATTTGCTCTTAGAGGGTTTTAAAGTTTGAAATATGAATGCCAAAAAGAATGTGACTTTTTGCAGCACAGATCAAACATTCTCCAGAGTTTGGCAAAAGCAGTGTTTCTACGGTAAGACTTAGTTCTTACAAATGTGAGAATTTCCAGAACAGGATTGTGGATTTGCACTTGCTGACACTTACACATTCTTGCATTGTGTTTCGACCATGTCTACTTTCTCCCCTGCATATCGGAGATGGATCTGAACCAAAATGTCCAGTCTGCATGTTCCTGACTCTCTAGGGAAATTTGTGGAATCTGAACCTCGAGCATGATTGGAATTCGTGTTCAGATCCTAATTCTGAAATGAGACAGAATGAAATGCTGAATTCAAATACGTCCAGGTTTTAGTGATGATGGCAGCGTGCTACAGATCCAGGTGGCGACTTGGCCCGCTTCTGCAGGTTAAATTGTGTCAAGGCAGGTGGCATGTTAGGTTGTAACAGAAATCTATCCTCTGCTATGGCTCCTGGAAATGCTGCAAAGAAGCACTGCGGCCCTTACAGATGGGCATTATGTCATTGGCCATGTTTCTCCCAGCCAGTGCAAGAGTCATAGACTCAGCTGAACTAGATTGCCACAGAGCAATCAGTGACCTTCTGGGAACACGTTTGGACACACAAAGGACTTCTAAAGTGCACGTGTTCATCATAAAGAGCAACTAGCACTGAATTTCTCCCTTCCTAGCTGTCTCAGCGATCTTTAGGAAGCCTGAAGAGCAGAATGTTGCTTTGCCTCTCTAGCGTGTGGCTGGGACGCTGCTGTGAAGTGTTTAAGGGCCGCTGACGGGGAGGGGGAGAAGGGAATTTCATTCTTGTCATGCTGATCTTTTTCCTTCCATGAGACTGTAATCCACAACCTCGGTGTGAAGGAGAACATCGAGCTATATATTACTGGTGATGTAGTGGTGACAGGCAGAGTGCACATGTGTATGCGCACATTTTCTGGTATTAAACCCAGAGTGGGTGCACAGGACTCGGTGGAGACCTTGATTTGCACCTGTGACCAAGTTCAGCCTATGGATGGGCTCTCTGGGTTTCCTTGTGGTGCCCACAGCGTCACGTGGTTCAGGTAGCTGTAGCGGGAGGACACACTGATGAGCCTTGCACACCCCATGACTTAATGTGACCCCACTGGTAAATGCTTTTTTTCTTCTTCTTCTTCTTTTACAAGCCCAGCTTCTAGTGGAAACAGACACTTTTGGCAGCCAAGTCCGGATCAAAGGCAAAGAGACAGACTTTTACCTTTGCATGAACAGGAAAGGCAAGCTAGTGGGGAAGGTAAGTGTTTCCTATTAATTCATTTGTAATATGAGTGTTACCTTTAGCAGCCTCCTCAAAGCCGTAATGATGTGTTCGAACTTTGCCTGTCAGCCTCAAATGAGAAGCAGGACTGGGGGAATGGGGCATTTCCAAGGCAGCCCCTACCTTTACCAAGCCCTCCCCCACGTCCATAAAACCAAGCGCTGTAGCCAGCCACCGGGGTTTTACGATGATGGTTTGGATACGCATGGCTTTACAGTTGCATAAATCGGCAAAAGATGTCATCTCCACCTCGCAGTGCTGAGGACATCGCCGCAGTAACTGCATTACTCGATAGAAATATATCGTTCTTTGGGGTGAAATTAAAAAAAAAAAAGGAAAAAACGTAGGAATGTGCTCGGTAGGATAGCAATGTAATGCTCATTTCAATAGTGAGGCAGGGTATAGTGTGGCAAAGCTAATACTGGAATCTGAACATCTTATTAGGGCTGGGCCTCACGGTTCTAACATTACAGGAATATTTTATTACTTTGGATCCCTGCACAATGGAAGCATGTAACAAATTACAGCATATTCGCCCGTGTAGCTTAACTTCTTTGCTGAAGTCATATTTTTTATGTATTAACTTGTTTTTGTAACTTAGGCAGTTTTTCTGTATTGTTGGCGAACCAAGAAGCTTAATCACTGGGCAGGAGGTTGTTCAAAGTTAAAATATCACCAAACACCCATAAAAGGCCCCTTCCCCCACTGCCCACACTTTGCACGCCAGGAATTAAAATCTGGCATCTCTGTGGCTGCGAAAAAAGGAAGCCGAGTTTTGTTTTGAGTCAACAAAGTCGGTGCAGTGAAAGCCACGCTCCCAAAGAGAAACCAGAAACCAATTGCTCTGATGAAACATTATTTACTTTTGTGGTCCCAAGAGTGACACTTGAGGGACAAGTGCCTTTCCCAGAGGATCCCTCCTGCCACTTTGGTTTTGCTCACAAGGAGTGCAGATGCTTCTTTTGTGACTTGGGCTAGATCTTCCAAACGCAGCCACTAATTGTGGCACCCTGCCTAAGCCACCGAGGATCTGCCTTCGCAAAGCGTTGAGTTTCCAGGACACTGCTTCAAATCAGTGGGGACTTGGAAATAACTCGGTGCACTGGGAAAATTAGACCCGAACAGCCAGTTTGCTGCTTCCTGCACTTTTGTGGTTTATTACCTGCTCCGAACGAGACGTTGTTGTTCGATCTTGGACAAGCAAATTAATTTTTTAACTGGACTTAGATGGCTTAGGATAGGGATGGATGCTTTTGAAAATTGCGCTCAACACTCCTAAAATCTGACCCTTGATGTCTTTGCCTTAGTTTTCCATCCTTTAAATGTGATAACAGCAGTTCCCCTTCTCTTGGAAAAGTTATAAGGATAAATATGTTAATGTTTATGAGGTGCTGATAGCACAATAATGGAGACCTTAGCAGTATCATCTAAATTGGACGGGATGAAATGAGCATAAAACGTTACTGTTTTCTTTAATAGCATTTACCCTCGTGTGGGTCGCTAAGGGTACACAGCAGCAACCCACATCCTTTCCTGCTCTGTGCCGTGTCCAGAAGCATCCTGGCAAAATCAGAGGCTGTTTTTCAAAATGTATAGTATATTTTGGCAAGATCCGCCCCTTCATTTGGCCCACTGGGCAACAAGGCAGGACGATTCTTTACCCCGTCACCTTCCATGCCGCGTAAAGCCTTTGTATTTTCTTGATGCGCTTTTTGTAACGTTAAGTTGGCAAACAGTTTGTTACTAAAACAAACAAACAAAAAAAACCCAGAACCCCCCCCCCCCCAAAACTTTTCTTGTTAATATCCCATCTGAGCCTTCCCACCCCAGACTGCTGACAAGTTCATAAACCAGCCGACCTGAGCAGGAGGGGGTACTGAGCATTGCGCTTGGAAGGAAAATGTTCCAGACGCATTGCCCATATTAACAGCTTCTCATGAGCAAAAAAGAAAATAATAGCATGTCTTCTTGATACCAAAGAGTGTGGTTTTAATTAGTATCATAGTTTCAGCTCTTTTTGTGGCAAGCATTTGAGGGAATGCTTTTTAGACCGAATGCTCTAAACAGCTAGTAAACCCCAAGGAAAACATTAGATAAAAGTTACGCCTCGGCTTATACAAATATTTAAGTTCGGTCTGGGGGTGGAGGGGAATGAAACCCATAAACTGATTGTTTCACGGTTGCCCCGGTATGTTCATTTGGCAACGGAGGAGCCATGGGACAAAATTGGTTCTTTTTCTCTGCTCATTTCCTATTGCCTTACACTGCATAATCCCCAACAATACCAGCATATGCCATCTGGCTTTGTTCTCCTTCACAGTCAGCGTTTTTGGATCCCCCCCAGTTGAAAAAGCTGCTTTGAATTTAGTTCTTTTTTGTTTCCCATAATCACCTACAAAGGGTATTACAAACCCGAGCAGGTTGTTGTTGTTCTCAACTGGAACGCCTGACGAATGCGACTGCTCCAGAAACTGGGCTCCTTCCCCACGTTGGAGCTAGCTATGTTACAGGCAAATACACTAATCTGCAGGGTTCAAAAGAGCAGCCTTGTTTTCTTTTTTTCCTTTTCTTCTTCTTCTTCTTCTTTTTTTTTTTTTTAATATCAGAGCTTGCACCCGTGCCAGCTTTTCTGAGTTGCAGCCATCTGATGGAGCTTTCTCAGGAGCCCAAAGCCTTGTGTTCTCTCGCGCTTGCTTGTTTCTATATGCAAGTTTGCAGCTCGCGTTGGCCAAGGGTCTCGGAGGTGTTATGGGCAGGCTTCTAACTTTATTTATTGTCACAGCATGCAACTTTTGAGGTCAGTTTGGTTCTATGTGGTGCTTATGAAAACCGGTGACAGGGCAGGTGTTGCACAGGGAATGACTTTTCTGCTAAAGACAACCTGTATCAAGGGAAAACAAACTGGATTGTGCTTCTTGGTTGATTTTTGGTGCTGTGGTAAAGAGGGCCCAAGAAAGATTTCCTTTTATTTTTCCCTTCTGACCATATTTTTTTTTTGCCTGTGGCTTTTTGGTGTCTCTATTTTAACACATGAAGAAATTGTAAGTCCCGAGTTTTCTCATTCTGCTTTTCTATGGACCACTGAACTTTATGGTGGCGTTATATTACAAGGAGAGAGATTAAAATATGAAGATTCAGAAGAGGAATAGTAGATGTTTTTGTTAAAAAGTCTTCTTTTTTTTATTACTGTTTATTTAACTTGGGCTTCCTATGAACACTAGGGAGAAGAGGACTCTGTGAAAGGTTCAGCCTCCCTTTGCTTTCATGTGAAAACGCTTCTGTTCCAGGTCTTTAGCATTCTTATGCCATCTCTGTAGTTATCTCACTTTAATAATTCCTCCTGATACTGTGATGTTCATATTGAATAGAACCTTTTACAGACAGATACATTTCACTTGGTGCTCACACGCGCGCTCCCTCTCTCAATCCCGTATCTGTAGCTTCTTATGTATAGACACGTGAGGGTGTTCATGGGAAGGGGTATAGTGTGACTTTTCACGTAGAACATAGGAACGCTGAATATTTGCAATAATTTAATGTTGGGGGGGGAGGGGGAGAGGGACGAATAGTCTCTTTGGAGGAGCTCTAGGTTTCTAACTGAGGTTTTCCTGGTGAGTCCCTTTGTGGCTTTTCTCTCTGCCTCAGCTTCCTTATCTCGTGCATTGAGATAATGATGTCAATAAAGCGAGGGACTTCATGTTTGTAAAAGACTGTCAAAGTCAAGTCTTTTAAATCACCACAGCAAGGAACAGCAGACGAGGATGTGAGCAGGTGGCTGTTGATTACTTTGGCCACCTCTAACTGTTCTTACTGCGCCTGCCCTTACAGCAGATTCATGCTATCTAGAGTAGCAGGGCGTTGCAGGGATTTCTTTTCCTTTTCCTTGCCCGTCTTCTGTCCCCATCACTGTGAGAGTGTTTGGAAGAGGTCACTGATCCGTTTGAAGACTTAGACTGGATCTGTCGGCAGGACAGGATCCCCTAGCAGAGCCCTGCCCCTTCCCATAGGGAAGAGCATCCCGTGATCTGATTTTCCCGTCTGCCTCACATAACATGCAGGCTTTGAAGGCAGGTCCCTGGTAGTGTCTTCTGAAAGACGGCAGCTTAATTTCTCCCTTTTATTTCCATGCAAAGCAGAGATGCTACCCTGTGGTTTTCAGGGGATGAGAGCCACCCCACGCATTACAGATCTTTAGCAGAGGTGACTAATAAAGGGCTCTGTCCTTCCTTCCTTTTCCGTACCCTACGTCCCTTACTCTGTAAGGATATTTGAAATAGGAGCCAAAAGTGGCCCAATTTCACGTGAGGCTCTCCTAATGCTGCAGTGGTTGGTACTTGGTGATTAGAGTATCTTCAGTCCTCAGTACACTGTTGCTAGGGAATTTTCTGTGGTTCTCTAGCAACCACCCACCCATGGGATTATACAGTATAGTCGGCAGTAGCTCTCAGGTTATCAGCCGGTGTCCATAATAGGAATATTTCACACTTTGAACCATAAAGGAGAGGCAAGAATAGGCCTGTCCATATGGACTGACCAAGAACAGAGGAGGATGGACCTTGGCTTCCCTCAAAGCTGCGAAGTGGGAGGAGAGACTGTTTACTGCAGACCATGGGAAGGGAGACATCAGTTTTCAGAGTGAGATGCAGGAGCACTGAAGGTAAGTAATGACTAGCAGGAATCCAAAGGATTTGAGGTGAGTGGGGAAGGAGCTAAGCAAATCTTAAATTTGATCCAGAAGTTGCTTCAGAAGATATGCTCCAAGCAGTCCCACTAATGTTCTTCCATGGCTGGTCCACCTAATCTGGACTGTGTCTTCTCCAGATCCATAGGTAATATTGTTCCTTGCTCATTGTTGCTTTGGTTTTGAATACAAGCTCCTCCTCTCAGTAAGCTAAGTCACTTCTTGAACTCTTCCAGGAGGGAGAAGCAGGTGCTGGGTAATGGAGCTTTCTCCTCGTGGTGGCCAGGGTTCTTGG